CAGCGCCCTAGACCCAACCGCCCCTTTCAGGCATCTATAGCGGACCCAGTCCCGAGCGACTTGCCCTCGCCCCTCCCCGGCTGGGCTTCTTCATATGCAAAGCAGAGGGACCTCGGGGGTGGGGGAGATAGTCGTTAGGGGAACCCATAGGGTGACAGCTGGACCCGGCTGCCAGCCCCTACTGAACCCAAGGCCTGCCGCTTCTATTCGGGTGGGCAGGTGGACGTTGCTGCACCCGTTTGGGGGTGCAGAGACCTTGGGACCTTGACTGGGGAAAAGAGAACCCCTTCCTGCAGAGGGACAAGCGCAGTAGAGGACTTGAGGGTAAGGACAGGATTCGGGCTCTGGGACACCGGGCTTGTCGCGGTGTCCAGATGGCTTAGTAAACAGGTCCGCGGGAACCACCCCCAGTGTCTACCAGGAGGTCAGAGAGCACAACTCGAAGCGCACCCCCTGGCTTCTGATTCCAGGTTTAAAGTCCAAATTTAACGCCTCCGTGGCAACAGCATACTAGATTAATGTTTTCTTCATTTCCACTGAGTTTTATTTTAAGATGTAATTGGTCACAGAGGAGAGAATACTGACCGAGCTTTACAAATTCGCCGTCTCCGAGCCTCTCATTTCAGCTCTGCATTTAAACGAATGTCCGAAGAGCACCCACCCTCACCCTCACTGCCAACCACCGCCGGCGGACTGCAGTGCACAAGCGCTTTTCTGCCCAACGCCCCCTACGCGCGCAGCCCCAGGTCCTATAAATTCTGGACGGGGTCCCGTGAGCGACCTCGGTAGAGGCAGAATCCTCCCCACCTCACCCCCGAGACACTCCTGGAGAAGGCCCCAGTAGGCCCAGATACGGCTTTCACATTATAGGTTTCTGCTCTGAGAAGCGCCTGGAGGACCAGCCCCAGAGGAGGGAACTCGCCGGGAAACTGAGGACGGAGGGGGGTTCCGCCAGCCCTCCCCAGCCGCCTTTCAGTTTAGGGCCCTGCAGGGGCCCTCTCTAGCACCCCCTTTCTTACCGCTGCCTCCTCGGTCCCGAGCTCCACTTGGCTTCCCTCTCCCAGGAGCCCTGTGGGTCCTGGGCCCGGCAGGTCGTTGCTGCGGATCTCCCGAGAGCGGCGACCGCCCACGGCCGCATCGCCCGGCTCGACCCGTGCGCTCCTATCCAGCCCATAAGCCCCCAAAGCGGGCGATGATTCGAGACAGGAGGCGCCTGGGGCGGAGTGGACGCTAGCCGCGGGAATGGGGCGAAACCAGCCACGCGAGGTCAGGAAGAGGGAGGAGGAAGAAAGCCGAACGAGTCCTGGACCCTGCGGGTCCCAGAGGCCACGCAAACTCCGCTGATGATGCAACGCAGGACACCGGCCCGGCTCCCTCGTGTCCGGCCCCATCGCTCCCGCTCCCTTATACCTCTCTCATTCTCTCCTGCGTCAGGTTGCCTTAATCTCATTCCACCACTCTCTCGGAGATGACCTACTTGCGTGCAGCACTTTACAGTTTATAACCTGGACCGCATAGTAAGAGATTGGTATTATATCTCCTTTTTCCCGGGAAAGAAACCCAGGCCAGATGGTTTGCTCGAGACCCGTCGGTCAGGACGTTACTGAAGGAGAGAATGGGTGGGGGGGGGGGGCGCGTTGCTTATCACTTTGCTGCAGCCACGTTTTCCGAGGCGATGGTTGCTGGGGGTAGGGGGTACCCAGAGGTTGGGAAAGGGCAGTATCGGGCCGGGGCTTCACGGTGTGCGCTCGGGCTGAGTAAACACCGCCAGCTTCCCACGAGGGCCGGAGGGATCCTGGGCGTGGAGAGGGGAGCAGGTCGAGCGTGGTGATCTCAGATGCGAGTCAGTGCTGTGGAGCAAAGACAGGGCGCGACCGACTGGGACGGGACGGGAGAGGGGGACCTGGAGAAGGCAGGAGAGAGGGAGAGAAGGGAGGGGAGAGGGACGGGAAAAGAGAATAAGGGCAGAAAGCCGGAGAAAAGAGAGAGGGACGTGGGAAAGTAAGCCGCGATAAAAGGAGCAAAGACGTGCTGCGGGAAATGCATGGAAGAGTAGAAGAAAAGAAAGGGCGGGGAGGGGGGGAGACCCAGAAAGACACCCAGCGATTAAAAAAAACGGCAAAGGCGGCGAGGAAAGGCGCGGAGACGAGGACCCTGCAGGCGGGTGTGCGGGTGTGTGACAGGCGCGTTCTTAGGCGGGAGAAAAGGAGGCGGCGTGTTTGGTGGGAGACTCAGCGCCTGTGGAAAAGCGTGTGAGCGGCTCCGGGCAGGAATCCAACAAATAAATAAAACGTCTAAGACGGCGTGACAACAATGTGTATTTGGGTGCGTGCCCGTGTTCTTCTGTCTGAACACACACTCACATCCCGAAAGGAAGACAAACGGGGGCTCGTGCCTCCGAGTAATTAATCCTCCCACTAATTGACTCTCTCCCCTTACCTAATGGCGGTGGTCATTGCCGATATCTGGAGAGAGATCACGTGGAAAGAGAGACAGAAGGGGAGAGACCCCCAAAGCTAACTACCTTTGGGACTGGGATTGAGTTCTTCCTGGACTTGGCCGTTCTAAAACTCCCTCCCTTCTTTTGGGGGCAGAGTTCAATAGATGTTGCAGCTCCTCCACCTTTGTATTAATAAAGATCTGAGATTAGGGGTGACCGGGAGTCCTACACACACACACACACACACACACACACACACGCACGCAGAGGCCCTTCATCAATCTCAGAGGCTGAAAGCCACCCACTGCCCCTCTGCTGGACATTTCCTACCTCTAGGCAACACTAAATCTCCCCCTTCACTGTTGTTCCCCCAGGAGCCCAGACCCTGCCCCTCTTTTTTAGGTCACTACTTAGTTTTCTCAGAACCTGGGATGTGCCCTACAGTCCTGAGTAGAACAGGTGAGGTTTTGAATGGGTTGGGGAGCAGCCTTGGGTAGATAGAGAGCGGCAGGAGGGATGAGGTCAGGGCAAGGATGGGAAGATGCTTCTAGGGACAAATCCACTCAGAAGCAGGATGGAGAGCAATGTACACCTGGCAAGGGTGAGGCCTCTGGGGACAGAGAAGAAAAAAGGTAGGCACATGCACTGTGGGGCGGGACAGGAAAATGACCATGTTTCTGTGACCGTGTGACTCAGGGAGAGAGTTCTAGCTATTTCATAGCACCCTAAGCTTTCAGGACTGGGGAAAGAGGCAGGGGAATTTTGGACTTGGCTGGAAGGGGCCCAAGGTCTGCAGGGTGTCCATGATACAGCTTTGAGGCTTGGTTTTGGGAGGTGAATGTCAACTTTCACCCCTCGGAGTTGGCAGGTTTGCTCAGTTGGCCTCCCCAGGAGGCTAAATAAATAATTGTTGAGATCCATAAACCATCCAGCCTAGAGAGAGGAAGGAGGGAGAAAGGGCAGCTCTCCAGGAGAAAACATCCCCCCCACCCCACTAAATACATTCTTAATTGTCCCTTGGGAACATTTGTACATTTGACCAAAGCAAATCCTCAAGCAGTAACAGCAAGATTCGTCACAGGGGCTGGCAGTCCAGAGAGAGTTGGGGGACTGGAGAAGAGAGAAGCGGGGAGAGATGGCAGGCATGTTTGAGAAGGTGAGAAACTTGGCTCTTTCTCCTTGTCTCTGTCATGCTTTAGAAAGAAACTGAGCAAGAGGAATAAAGTTCCAGAGGAAAGAAAGAGAAGGGCATATAAAAGGCAAATCCAAACCAGAAAGGAAAGAAAGTGAAGAAGAAAGAAAAAGGCTGGGAGGGTGGGAGAGACGATAATAAAAAAGGGTGAAGGCGGCCCCAGGAGGCTGGGCCGCGTCCCAAACCATCCGTCTTCATTGTCTCTGTGTGTGCAAAGGCAACTCCGGCATAAGGAAAAGCCACTATTGGAGCCGCGGCTTTATTTTATATCCTATACATCAGGAGGGAGGCAAAGCTTTATTTTCGCCAAGAGACAGATATTTTATTTCTCTCTTACGGTTTTATGTGTGAGAGATGTCAGGTTGCCACAATGGATGGCTAATGCATAGGCAAGAGGAAGCCGTGTTGGCATGCTGTGTGTCATGGGGTCTTGGGGGGGGTGAGTGGGCCTGGGATTTAGGGCTGATGGGACACTCTGGGGGATTTCTGCTAAAACATCTCTCTTCATAAATCCAGAAGCATGGTCAGCTCAACAGGGAGAAGAAGGAGTTTTAGAGGGAAAAGAGTTGGGCTTAGTAATGAACGAACACACAAAGGAACCGCTTACCTTCCAACATGCTTGGGCAACCAAGGCAAGGCGGCCCTGTGGAAATGCGGAGACTCGGGACCAAGCACACGCGCACCACTCACAGGGAAGTATTTTTCTACAGAATATGATATCGTTTCCTTTCCTTTCCGCATTTTCTATTTTTACGCCTGCCCCATCTTCATCGGAAATCTTTTTTTACCTCCTCAGAGCCTTGGGTTTGGGGGGGAGAGCTATTAATTTGCAAATCATCTGATCTGTGACAGGATCAGATGCCTGTTTTTCACCGTTAAATGCAATGTCTCAAGTGGACACACACATGCACACATGAGCCCATGATGCTGTGAATCCTGGGGGGGCGGGGGTTAGGTGCCAGATGTGAATCCAAGAAAAGTGTGCCCTCTCCTCCAGGGCCTGTGGCCAAATTAAGCCTTAGCTCTCAAACTGCATAATGGCCATATTTTTAAACTTGGAGAGAGGGGGGAGATGAGGGGACAAAGAGACAGAGAAGGAAGTGAGGGAAGTGTGTTAATTGATACATTCCATTCAGGACTTAGACTAGTGTCCCCTGCTCACAGCCACGCCCCAAATCATTCCTTGCAAGACTCGCCTTTATTTGCTCTAATGTTCTATTTTTAATTTTTTTGATTTCTGGGTATATATATTCATTGTGGAGCAAAAAGCTGACCATGCTCTTTCCCGCTTTTCAGAGGATCAGAGGTGACACAGGATCTCTAGACAATGAACGTGGGGACCTGGCCACACTGTCCTTAGCTGTGGCCTTTGGAGAAGACATTTAACCTTTCTGAGCCTCAGTTTCCCCATCAGGCGATGGGGCTAAATGGTTGCTAACATCTCTTCCAGCTCCAGCCTCCTCTGACCGAATGAGATAATGTGTGAAAACACTTTGTGAACACTAAAGCCGGACGAATGCCGGGAGGATTATTATTACGATTCTAATCAATCCTCTTTTCTCCACATGGATCTTGGCTGTTTAGCGCCAGCAAGCAGGCTAAAGAGGACCAAAAGCGAGAAAGCTTAGCGGAGAAGGAAAAGCTCTGTGGCATGGACATAAAAACCCCTGCAACTCTAGAAACATTCGGTCTCCGTGTGGCCCCCAGGCCTGGTGAGAAGGGGTGGGGAAGAGGAGGAGGCTTAACTTGGTCTGATCCATTTCTGTCTACATGGAGGAACAAAGTGTATTTCTCCCAAAGCATCATTTGTCTCCAAGTGACTGACATAGGAACCAGATATGAAGGCGATTTGCAATTGTTTCTTTTTTTCCAGAAAGAAAGGAAAAAAGCAAGGTGTAGCTGATTAGCAAGTTAATTATTTCAGTACCCCAAGGGTTCCAGTGTGGTGGTAAGTTGTCCAGCCCTGGTGTAATTTCACAGTCTATGCATTTCCTTGTGAGCACCTGGGGTGCCCGGGTCTGTCTCTCTCTCCATCCACCTGCCTTATGTCTTCCTGACACACCTGGGGAGATGAGTAGGGGCTGGGGTGGTAGACAGCGCAGTGTATATATTTGGCCTGGGCTGCAGGTGGGGGGCCAGACACAGAAGAGGATGGAGGAAACCTCCACCTCCACCAAGGGCTTAATTATCTGGCTCTTCCTTCTTCTTTTTAAGAAATATTTGAAAATAAATATTAATGAGGCAGGTTATCAGAGAGTGGAGCTGTTGTGACATTATTTGCCCAGACTTAGCATGGAAAGAAACTGCGTTTGAAGGGCCCTCTGGCTTCTCACCTCCTCCCAGCCCCGGCCAGCTCTCCAGGGCTCCTATTTGCTTTCCCAACTCTGGCCACCACTTGGTCGGCTGTGGCCTCCTCCAATCTGACTTCAAGATCTGATTTCCCCTTGGGGGAGGGGAGGGAGGATTGTGTGGTCAAATGAACACCTCCCTCAGAGAGATAAGTTGGGGATGTGAACATAGCCTCAGAATTAGCAGCTTTTGCTGCTCTCTGCTCTCCTGGCTGGTAGAGCTGACCCCCTGCTGCTCCTCCCGAGATGGACAAGGGAGGGCTCAGCAGTTTACTTAAGAGTGGTCCCATCTGCTCAGGCCAGCCTTTCATAAGGGGAGGGATTTATGCAGTGTCCTTGTGCACAGACCTGGGATTTGCCTGAAAACCTTGGGCCTCTGAGAATATTATGAACGCTAAAATGTTCAGCCACAGCGATGATTCATGATTTGTCTGCAAAGACAGGGTGTGTGTGGGTGTGTGGGAGTGTGTACATGTGTTGGGGAGAGGCACACACATTGATGGGGGCTTGTCACCATTCTCACTTCTAATCCAAACATTAGGACTTTTTTTTCTCTTCTATATTCACTCAGGAGACAGCACATGGCACCACGCTCTGGAGAGCCAACTTCCTGCCTTGAGCAGTGTGAAGATGATGCGATCCAGTTTTTGGTGCTGACATTCAGCTACCCCCCAAGCAGGTTGGCCGATACCCCTGCAGGTGGAGAGGGGCCTGGGGCTGACTGGAAAGATGGCTCTGATGACCGCTTCGTTGCCGGAGGACTTGCAGGTGGCGGAGGACTGGGGGGATGGGGGTGGATCCAGTCCATGTTCCACTTGTACTTGGCCATCTTTAGTCTTTACATCTCGGAGGGAGAGAAGTTGGAGAATCTTAGAATGCAGGAAGGCAGGTGTAGGGAGTTCCTTGTCTTAATTGTGGTACTTCCATGCCCAAACAAAGCCCAGGGGTGGTAAAAACAGATCCAAGCAGGGCTTTGCGGTTCTATGTGGTTATTTCAGCCCTGGTTCCTGGGAGATGAAGAAGACTTTTCCAAGTTTTGAAAAGACCATTTCAAAAAGTGCCATTTATTCATAATCTTTAGGAAGTAAATGCAACATCTTTGACTGCCTGGTGGCTGGCAAGGGAGTATTTTGAGCTCGCATGGCCCTCATTTGTGGTTCTACCATTTTCTTGCTCATGTTCCAGTCTGGGCTTGCAGAGATGAAGACCCCAGCCTCCCCGGCTCCTGAGATTTTTACGTCTCTCAGGCCATTCGTAGTGTAGCCTGCATTGTAGGCATTGGCCGGCACACATTTTGAAGGGGGAGCTGGCACGCCTGTAACTATGGGCAAGGTTGTTCTCATTTGGGCTCAAGAGAAGATAGAGTTTCCCCTTAAAAAAGAGGAGCAAGGAACCATTTCTATGAATCTTTTAATGAAGGATTTACTACTAATTTGATAAGTTCATTGCTCTTTTTACTCGTTCTGAATGAATAACTTCATCAGTCAACCCGAGGGTCTGCAGAACCTATAAAAATGCTTCCTTTGGTCTTCTTGCTTTAACACATGCTGGGGCTCGGGCCTGCCTCTGACAGACTGGGGAGGAGTAGAAACATTCCAGAGACCAGGTCTTACAGTGTTATCTCTTCCCCACCCCAAATCCTCACCCTCCATTTTATCTCTCAAATACAAATGCAGGGACCTCCTAGGGAAGTGTGAAGGGATAGGTTTTAATCAGGTTTGGGGAAGGAAGGGGAATGAGTTGAACCTAAAGAAAGAGGGGGACAGTTGGAATTTTTAACACCCCTCTGTTAATACTTCTCATGAGTTATATATTATATCTTACAAAGCATGCATCTGTCACCGTAATCTACAGTGTACATGTGGCGTTTGCCAAATACTGCTTGGCCAAAACAGTGTTAAATAAAATTGTAAGAAATGCTACCAGGGCCTTGCATGGGTTATTTAATTCTATCAATGATAAACAATGTTAATGTGTAGCATCTCAGTTGGCACAATAATCATGTTTCATTTGTATATGCTGAGATATATTTAACCATGAACGATACAGTTTTCCAACACATGTATTTCCCAATGATTACTTAGGAGAGACGTGATGGAAACAGCGGAAATCTTTTCTCTCTCCACATAAACTTGCACGCTGTACACACAGACTGCCAGTCACACGCATTCACATGGCCAGCCAGCCCGTAGGTATTGTCATACATATGTCCCCACTGGAAAATGTAAGCGTAGATTCTATAAAAGTAGATCCTGTTTATGCTCCTGTACCTAATTGCAGACACACAGATCAGTGTTTTGGAATCTTTGGGACATTTGTACATATTTTCTCACACACCCACCCTGGCTCACAGACGATGTTGACATGAATATGCATACTATCCCACATGTGGTCTTTATATGTATTCATGCAAGTGCTCTCCCTGCAAGTGCAGATGTGCTCGGAAGGACCAGTGCTCATACGCAGGAGGATCCTCTGCACAGGCTTCTACGTAAATATGCATCGATGTGCATGTGCATATTTGCACACACAACTCCTGCACCCCTGCTCTGGGATGTACACAGACACCCATAGGCTAAGCTGCAACAGCTGCCCTGTTAACTCTTGGAGGATCCAGACCTGTCAAACAATATCTAATTGGGTGTTTGCCCTCTATGAGCCCTGAGACATTCAGGATGAGAGGCCAGGAGGAGCAGGGTCAAGACGTCAGCCTGCCTGGCCTGGCCTCTGATGAAAATAATATAAAAATGTGGGGAGTAGGGGGTCTCTCTAGATAAAGATGCCTCCAAAAGAGGATCAATCTTTTGTTTACTCATTAAGAAATGAGTCAGGATACCTTCTCGGGCCTCCACTCTGCTGCCAGCTATCTGCTGTCCAGGTAACCTGCTCTCTCCACTTCAGTTTCTCCTTCTGGAAAGTGAAGTACTCACCCAGACTAGTGCTTCTACCCTGGCTGCCCAGGAGAATCATCTGGGGAGTTTTTTAAAAACACAGATATTTGGGCTCTACCCCAGATCAATTCGATCAGAATCTCTGGAGCTGGGTGCCCAGCATTTTATTCTTTTTAAAGCACCCCAGCGGAGTCTATACATATTCAAACAACACTGAGACCTACTGGCCTAGATGCTCTCTGAGGCCCTTATGGCCCTAAAACACTATGTCACAGAAGACCTTTTATATAGAAAGCACTGTGCTGGGCACCAGGGCCCTCTGCTGAAAGTTCTAAGTTCATTCATCTAAGATCATAAACAGTCATTATAATTATTCTTCTAGTTTAGGAAGAGGATAATTTTTGAACAAGCTATATTTCCCCTGGAAAAACTCATGCCTGCATCTCTAGCAACCTCTCTTCCCTTCCATCTTTGTTCCCGCCTTGTAGCTCCCTGACTCTCGCTCATGGAACATCAGTTATATTGCCATATATGCAAATGTTGTGAGCTGGCACCTGATAAATGTGATAGATGCCTTGTTACCTGCACATACCCCCGTCTAGTTCCTCAGCCAACCTGCTGGGGAGCACAGTATTTTTAGTAGGGTAAATGATAGAGCATAGGCCTGGGCGGGGGGGCGGCGGGGGCGGGAGGGAGTTTCCTCCCTCCCCCAGCCCTGAGTCAGGAACGCCAGCCCCTAGGCCAGTGCCCCAGTTCTGGAGGCTGGTGCGGTGGTTGACGAAAGCCTTGTACTGCATGTCCTAGAAAGCCGCTCTCAGACTTGGGCCTCTGGGAATTCTGTCTTAATATTCTCCAACAACCGTTCCCTAGGCAGAGCCGGTCCTCCTTGAAAACAAATCTGCTCATAACAGCACCTGCTGGAGGAGGCTGAGCCCAGGTGAGCATTTCATCCCCCCCACCCCCCTCCACGCAAGTGAAAAGCAAAGCTGAGACAATGTGGGCTGCCGCCTGGGGCCCCTTTCTCCCATGGAGGGTGCTGAAGAGAGCGTGGGGGGAGGGGTCCTGCCTCTCACCTGGAAGGGCATGGAGGGGAAGGTGTTCATTCTGGACGGAGTGTCTCCACTTCAGTGATCTCACTCATTAAAGACGATGCTCAGAGCCCCTCAGAGCAACTTGGAACAGAGTCTGGTTCTCCCTTTCCCACTGTCTCTCTAGCTCGACTGGCTGATTTTCTCCTGAAGGCGGATGGACTAGTTTTCTTCAGGAAAGTTGTCCCAAGGTGGCTACAGATACTCCACTATCCAGACAGGCACTGGGGGTAGTGATGAGACCCAAGACCTCTGTGGTTTCACCTCTAATCCTTTTACCCACTCGGGCTTACTATTTCTCCATTTGCCTCTTTATTTTTTCCCCTACTCTTTCATTCTGTCCCCTTCTCCCCTGATGATATGCCAAGTTAGGTCCTGGCCCCCACAGCTGTCTGCACACATGACAGAAAAGTTTGCTGATCACTGGGCTGTGCCCAGTCTCCTCCTCCTCTCCCCTCACTTCCCTTGCGGGGAGCACAGGCTCGGTGCTGGGGAGGGAGCCCCAGACACAGCACAGGATCCTCAGATTCTAAAGCTGGATCCAGAGCCCAGCTTCCCAGGCCTGTGCCTCTTCCCAGGGCCCACCTCCCCTTGGGCCTGGGGAACATCACACCCCAGGACGTGATGGATTCCCCAGGCACCTTCAAAGGGCTCCGCATTTGTTTGCAATGTGGACCTTGAATCCTTCTCTGGTCATAAACGTTGTTTATTTTGACTAGGACCTACTGAAAGGGGATTGGGGGTTAGGAGGGCAAAGAGAGGATTCCTCTGGAAGATCATAAAACCATTAGCAGGGCAGGGCTTTAAGGGGTCACAGGATCACAGAATTTTCTGGCTGAAAGGAACATAAGCCATTAGGAAGGTCACAGATGACCACTTTGTCAGCTAAAGGCCTCTCGAGGACACACGGGGCCAGGGTGGGGGACTTTGGGCCTCTTTCTAGAAAGTGGACACAAGGTATGGGGGCATGACCCCCCAATAACCTTACACCAGGTGGGGGAGGCCAATAGTCTCTGAACATGATGGATTTGCCCTCCCAGTGGGAAGAACCAGTTGTTTGAATGTGCCGTGGAGACTCTTGTTCTGGGGAATGGGCACAGCTCTGGGTAAAGGAAATAATATGACCTCCGATTCTGCCTCCACCAGGATTTTGAGCAGCTATTATATAAGATGCTAGGCTTCATGCTCTTCCAGTATTATCAAAACAATTCTCAAAGAGAGTGTTATCTTCATTTTGCAGATAAGACAAACTGAGCTCAGAGAGGGGAGGTGGTTTGCCCAAGGTCACGTAACTTGGGAAGCTGTAAGACTGGGACTGGACCTTAAAATTTAAAAATCTTTAAACCTAATCTCTTTTCCACCTCCCCATCTGCTATGGTCTGGTCCACTGCAGCCTGAGAGACTGAATGGGAACAGGGCTTCCTTCCTTCTAAAGCTCATATTGAAGCTGAAGAAGTTCAGCAGCAAACCTCCTTCTACTGATGGAGAAAAGTAGAGGCTTGGTCTTCTCCCAGTCCCTGGCACAGACCTGGCTCGCCCTGCACATAACGTGCTCCTATAAATCCGGCCACAGTCAGGAAACCAACTTGGTTGCCTGGTACTTGCTGTGTGACTCCGAGTAAGTCACTTCACCTCTCTGAACTCCACCTTCTGGATCCATCTTCAGACCTGAGGTCTTTGCAGAAGGCGGGGGGCAGGGGGGTCAGTGGAGGTGGTTGCAAACTGATCCTTTTGAGTCCCTTCTTGGTGTCATAGTTTTGGGGGTGGAGTGGGGAAGAGACTTAGTTTTGCCATCAAGGCTGCTGACTCAGATCCCATGCAAAAAAAAAAAAAAAAAAAAACCACCTCAAAAGTAGGCAAGGCAAGGCAAGGCAACGCTCATGAAGATGCCCGCTGAGAACACGGGAAGCTGAGAGCCAGGGTACAGGCTGGGCTGTGAAGAGGCAGTTTAAGCAGCGAGTTCTTCCCTGATCCCCTGACTAGGTAATCCAGTTGCTCAGAGAATGGAAAATCCCCTTCTCCTCCCCAGCCCCCTCCCTCACAAAGGCCTCCTAATAGGCCTGCCAGCTTTGGGGCACTAATCTGCCCAGACAACACATTGGGAGCAGGTTGCCTTGGGTCTCAATCTTCGGTGGGAGATGAGGAAGGCTGGGAGGGGGCAGGGGTCCAGGGGCTCGTTGTGGGGGAGGCTCCTGCTCTCAGGCCTTCCCACAGGATCAGGGACACTAATGGGCCTTCGTGCTGAGGGAAACTTCAGGAAAGGGGGCAAGGGGCACAGGACTGCAGGGAGGTGGGCAGGAGGCTGGGTCCCAGGGCAGAGAGGCCTTGGGCGGGGCTTATAGTAAATAGCCCCGTTATTTCATCTGCCATGCTCCTTTCATTTTTATTTGAAGATGGCTCCCTCCCCAGCACCTTCGCCTCCCACCTCTTACACTTTCACTCATCCATCCACAGAGCTGCTGACAGCTGCCCTGCGGGTGAACTCCTGATCCTCCAGCGGCAGAGACACTGCGGGTGCTCAGGCCAGAGCCTGCTCCCTCCTGTACACACACTCACCCCCAGTCCCACCCACACTCGCACTCCCTCAAGGCTGTGCCACCTCGGTTCCCCGAATCAGACCGATTTCTGCGAGCCTACTATATACCAGGCACTTTGGCACACATTAGTTTCCATAAATCTTCATACATATCCTGTTAGGTGGATATTGCATGTCCTGCCTTTATAGAGAAGTAAACCAAGGTCCAGAGAGGTTAAGCAACCTGCCCAAAGTCACACAGCTATGAATTTGAGGTGGGATTTTCTCAAAGCCATGCTGAATTCTGTATGCCGTATTCTCTTTTGGGTAATGAGAGCTTAATGCTCTCTACC